ATGTGGGGCACATCCCAGCATTCAGGAGGCTGAGTAGTAGGACTGTTTAAGTTCAGGGTCAGCTTAGGATACATTGTTTGGGAAATGGAAAGAGTGTTGAGAGTAACCTTTGCCCTCAAGAACTCCTGACCCACAGAAGAGTCCAGAGTGTGGGCCGAGACTTGGTATTCATCCTTCAGGCCTCAAACTGTGTGTCCTGTTTTACTATACAACACCCAGAACACAGCACCCCTCTTTGACCTGGCTCTGACTGCCCTGGCAAGTGCTCCAGAACATAAGTCCTTAAAAAGGCAGAGCCGGGTTGAGGTTCCAATTAATACACAGGTCTTCTTTTTAACTACATGTTTACATGAAAAAAAAAAATGAAATTTGACTTATTCACTGTGAATGTGGAGGTCAGAAGACAACTTCCAGGAGTTGATTTCTCTCCTACAGCGTGTTCTTGGGATCGGACTCAGGGTCAGGCTTACGTAAAATGCACTTTAACGGGCCGAGCCAACTTCTAGAGCCTGTTTGCATTTTGTTATTGCTGTTTTAAGGCATCTCACTATGTAGCCCACGCTGGCCTCGAACTCAAGAGCTCCGCCTGCCTTTGCCTCGTGAGTGCTGGCATCAAAGGCATTATGTCACGACCCGCCCCCCTCCCCTCCGCCATGTCTCCATTTTTTCGAGGGCACGACGGTTTGCTGTTCAGTCCTCACACTTCATCACCCCCGAGGTGTCGGCAGAGTACAGAAAGGGAAAAGGCCAATTAGCTACACACTTGGGGCTGAACAGGGAGTTTGTACTTCCGAAGCCTGAGTTTTATGGCACATTCGAAGGCACAGGGATACCACTCAGAACTACAGGTGAAAACTTTGCTCTAAGCAAGGTAAATCGCGTTGCATCTACCCCAGAGAGTCATTACGGCAAAGCAATGCTCAACAACATCCATCCGCTAGAAAGCCCACTTGAGAGGGCCTACTGCAGCGCTCGCCTTCGCGCCCACCCCGGTCCAGTCCCTCCGCCTGTCCTGCGCCATGCTGGACCACTCGGCAATAGTCGGCTTCGACTCGGATTTTCCCGGAGCGGCCTAAGGCTGCCTCTATCCCCTGGGGTCGCGACGCTCAGGCCAGTTGGGGTCTCCCGCTGCCCCACGCGTGCAGCACGGCCTGCTCTACCACAGAACCCCGCACTCACCGAAGACCTCGCGCGAGTAGCGTTCGGCGAACACACCGCGGCTCAACTCTCTCGGGCCCACATGGACCTTGAGCTGTAGCGGGGAAGCGTCCGCGAACGGGCAGCTCCGCTTGGGCATGGCAGTGGGTACCAAACACAGAGCACAGCTGCGCACAGGGCGCCCAACACACGTCACAGCGCGCTCACACCGCCGAGGAGGGCGGGGCGGACGAGGGAGCGGCGCTGGATAGGCCGGGAAAAGGCTGGGGGCTGGGCTCAAGGGCGTGGGATAGGTCGAGGGAGGCAGTGGGTGGGACTCGGGGGCGCGGGAAAGGCCAAAGGGGATGGCCCGGCGGGCGGGATCTGTGTGTGACGCGGCGCAGGATAGGCCGAGAATTGAGAGGCGGGGCTCTGGCGGGTGTGGCGCGGGAAATAAGCGCGGGGGCGAACTCAGGGGCGGGACTTAGGCAGGGTGGGACTCTCGGTGTAGTAGTCCGAGGTCGGGGCTAGGGCTCCGCCGGCTGAAAGCAGAAGGTCACCGTTGTCGCTAAGCAACTGTGATGGATGGTATTTCTGGGTTACGAGTCACAAGCAGTAGGGTGGCGCACTTTGTCCGGGCGTGGTGAATCCTGGCACCCATCTTCCTCTTAGTTCCTCCTGCATCCCTGAGGCCAGACCTTGGGGGAGGGTTTACAGCGTCACCGTGGGCCCACTGATCAGAGCGGATTTTAAACTGCCTTGGGGTTTTCTAACATTGTGAACTCGGGCAAAGCAGCGATGCTGAGGACCTTCTCAGTCCTTGTATTTCCACACGAGCTGAACGTAAGGGCTACTTGCTGAGGTGCATTAAGTTTTGCTCTCCGAGTGCGGGAGACCTTCGGAAGCATGCTCAGCAGGCATTTATTCTCCAGATTTTGGAGATTGGAAATTGGGTTCCCTACAGGCCTCTCATCTTCCTCGATCTGCAGACGGAAACTTCTGTGTCCTTACTGGATGGGGTGTCTATGTCCTCATCTCATAAAAACACCCGAGTACTTTGAATTAGGGTCCATCGTAAGTACCCCATTTTAACTTGTTAAGACTATATCCAGGAGCCAGGTGTATTGCTCATGCCTTTCATCCCAGCTCTCAGGAGGCAGAGGCAGGTGAATCTCTGTGAGTTCAAGGCCAGCCTGGCCTACAGGAGCTAGTTCCAAGACAGCTAGGACTGTTATAAAAAGAAACCCTGTCTCGAAAAAACAAAACAAAACAAAAAACAACAAAAATCACCCAAAACAAAACAAATAAAAGACTGTATCCCGATAGTAACCTTCTGAGGTCTTAGGAGCTAGGTCTTCAACATGAATAGGGGACACAATACAAGTGCCAAGTAAGTGTACAGGGTAAACCCTGTAACAAACACCTGATAAAAAGTCACTGTTCTGATGAAAACTTCACCCCAGCCCCTAGCATATAGAATCTGGAATGTTCTGGTAGAAGTTCCACCCCAAATCCCAAATCCCCTCTCCATCGCTCTCCAAACTTTGCAGCATCCCAGAAAGCCCTTCCCCAGAGATGCTCAAGACCACTCCCACAGGGTATTTAAGCTGTCCCCCAGAAAACAGACTATTTTTCATTCTCTCTTTCCCATCTCCTCTCTGGGGGACTAGAAAATCATCTGTGAGCATTTTACCCATTAAACCTGGGCTGTTTCAAATTTGGTTTGATTTGGTCTGATCTGGATTGCTGTGTCAGTGGAGAGGCTTATGGGGTGCAGAGACTTTTCAGTGACTACCGACTTCAGTGCTTCTGTTCCTGCGGGTGGTGTCCCCTGTTGCAGAGCTGTAAGGAACTGACTCTATGTGGAGACATTCGTCTCCTACTATAAGGCTTAAATCCAGTGGGGCAGACAGTCAGGGACCTGGCTAGGGAACCACCTCTAGCAAAGCTGCTCACATTAAGATAATGAACTCCCCGCACCGAATTCCCACTTCCAAATGCAGTCCCTGCAAGCTACCATGGGGTTCCACTGAGTCTGATTGCCGTTTTGAGTTAGAGAGATATAATTATTTCTTAGTTTCTTCTGTCTGTTTCCTTCAGATGGAGGCTAGAGCCTGAACATGCTTTTAAAATTTCTAACTTTGGGCTTTCATACTCTTTTTCTAAGGCTCCCACCAAATGGCATCCTGAATCTCACACAGGGAGACTCATTCTGTGTGTGCCATTATGTTTGACTGCTGTCTCATAGTTCTGAGTTTGCTCCCTCTAGCTCACATCTGTTGGCAGCTGGTTCCTTTCGATACTGCTTGTTCTCCTGCCTAGGAAGCCTAAAGTTTGTTCATCTGCCTGTTAGACACCAGGTCCTTTGGCAAGTATTGGCTATGATGAGTTTAGTTCCTGTAGACAACCTTGGATCAGGCCATTTGTGCTCATTCAGTGTTGGTGGCACTTGGGAGTGGGCTCCCTGTTCCATCTGCTGTGAGTGTGTTAGAGGGAGAGGGGTTGTATGCTTCCCTCTAAACAAACTGACAGCTTCCCAAGGTGTTAGGAATAGGATTATTGTGATTTTCCTCCCACATGGTCCTTAGGGGAGCTCTGAAAAAAGGCTTTAATCTCTAACCCCACCTGATGGGTCAGGGAAGTTTAGAGTGAGCCTTTCATGGGTGGTCTGGTGTGAATGTGAAGTCTCCCCTCAGAGATTCCACACAATGGCAGCGTGATTGAGTGTTCGGATCACGATGGCTAACTTCAGGGGAGAGTTGATGGCGGAATAGGCTTTTCAGTGAGACCCAGTTGGAGGAGGTGCCCCCCTGACAGTGTGTCTGAAGGGTGTATGGTTTCCCTGTCCTCATCCTGTTTCTCTGCTTCCTTCCTGAAGCCTTTCCACCATGATGCATCTCTCCACCACAGACAGACCTACAGTCATAGGGGCTAGCCTGGAACTGTGATCTAAAATAAAGTCTTTTCCTCTCTCTCTCTTTTTAGTTATTTTGTCATTGTGTGAAAACACAATGAGATATGTCCCTAGACTGGGATAGCCTAATAATGTACCCTAAATTCTGGCATATTATTCAAAGAGGCCCCTCAGTGTCCCAGTGAGCACAAGGCGGAGGCAGTGCTAGTTAAGACCTGTCTGCTTCAGTCTAGAGAAATTCCTAGGGACAGTGACCCAATGTGTCTGGCTAGAACGACAGGGTGCTGCCTGGGCTGCTCATTCCCTGGAGGCAGGAAAGACTGTTGTTTCTGGATCCCTGGCAGCTCTGGACTGTATATTCTCTCTCTGTTCTCAGATGGTTAGTTCTGGAAAACGTAATATACCAGGTCTGTCTTTCATGGGCTTGATGCATTTGCTTTCTGAGCAAGCCCAGCGCTGTGGCTCCGTACACCAAAGCTGTAGGAGTGCAGCTGTAATGACATCTTGGTTATAACACCCATTATTGCTCTGGTACTCTCCCAAGCTCTGCAGGACAGTGTGCTAAGCCATCCCAGTGTGAAGAGCAGGCCACAGACACAGATCATTTCCTGATTGACAGTGGACAATCGTGTGGTTTTAAAGGCAGGTGCCTTCCAGATAACCCTGGCCCACTTTTGTCTGGCTTTGTGCACATTTTTTCCTCACGCCCTGGGAAGTGGCCCCTCCTGCTTTGGTGTTTATAAGTCCGCAGTAAGTTGCGCTTTGTGTGATCCTGGCTCTGCTGGCTTCTGCTTCGGGTCTCACAGACCCAATGCTGTGGGCAGCGCTCCTCATACAGCAACTTGGGGTTTGCTCTCTGTGAGTGGCATCATGCAGACAGACCAGGTCACTGGGAAAGGTTGCCATTAAGTGATTAAGAGTGATAAGGACAGAGTCAAGACAGGTGTGATAACTTCCCGGTGGCTCCTGGGTATACGTTTATTACGACACGGCTCCAACTAAACACATGCCATTGACAATCAGTCATTGAAGGCCCCTGTGTTGAGCACTTAGGCACTTAGGCTCATTTTAAAAGCAGATTTTTAAAAAGTGTGCACAGTGCTCCTTTCACACACTTTAAATTGTCGCAGAATGCAGTGGGTCGAGCTGAAGACGTACATAGAAAAATAAAAGCATGGGAAGTGGCTTCCGATTGTCGCGTTGAAGGTGTTGACCGCGCCGCAGAGGATCTTGGCTGCAGCTGCTCGCTCATGGCGGGGCGGCGCAGTGTGGCCCGCTGGCTTCTGCTCGGCATCTAGAACAGCTGGATCATGGACTCTCTGGACTTCCCAACGCCGACCCATTTGACTGAAAGAGCGACAAAGAGCACAACAGAGAGACCATGAAAAAAAAAATGCTTCTCGGGCTTGGGGAAACAGCCCTGTTGGTAGAGCTTCCTCGTTAGCCCGAGCACCTGCGTTGATCCTAAAAGCCCAAGTTAAGATGCTAGCCTGGTGGCATATTTTAATCCCAGCACTGGGGAGGTGGAGATGGCGCCTTGGGGCTCACTGGCCAGCCAGTCTAGCCTGCTCTCTGAGCTCTCACCAGTGAGAACTTCTGTCTTAGAAAGAGGTAGCTAGCGTGCCTGGTTCCTGAGTTGACTCCTGAGGCGAGGCTGTCCTCTGCACACATGCACGCATGTTACAAAATGCCCCTTAACACTGCATCATGTGGTTTTCATTCCCCTGGCAAAGGTGCTGCTGGTTCACCAAATGGAGAATTTTTTAAAATAATTTTTAGAATTTTAAAAATTTTATATTATGTGATAAGTGTTTTGCTTGCATGCATGTTTGTGTACCATGTACAAGCCCGGTGCCCACAGAGGCCAGGAGAAGACAGGGGATCCCTTGGAACTGGAGATACAGGTAGCTGTAAGCTGCCATGTGGACACTGAGAACCAAACCCTGGTTCGCACAAGAGCAACGATGCTCTTAACTGCTGAGCCGCCTCTCCTGCCCCAGAAGGGGAGTATTTTAAACGGTATTGTGGCCCTAAACAGGCCATTCATTCATAGGCATCATAGCACCCTGTCCTACCCTTCTCATGTGGATGCAGCCCTGAGTCTTCTCTTGGTGCCAGAGTAAACACAGCCACAGGACAGGGACATCCTGCCTGCTTCTTTGCACCCTAAACTACACACTAGTCAGGGTCGCTGGGTCCCAACCTGGCTGGAGCTGTGGAAGGGACCCTCCCCAGATGGCACCTGTTCCCAGCTCCACCTCTTCCTATCTGTTCCGTTCATGTGGTTACTACCTGGGGGGTCTTATTTCTTACTAGGCCTTGTGTTGGGATACCAGCCCCTTGGGGTATCCAAGGCCTCGGGCCTGGGGGTAGAAAGAACAGATCTATGGCACATACTTGCAACTCCCAGGTGATTCTCCACGAACCGCACATAGCTCTGGGCCTGCGGTGGAAGGTCGTCCCATTTCCTGGCGCCAGTGGTGTCTGCTTTCCATCCAGGCAGTGTTTCATACTCTACCTCCACCTTCTGCAGAATCTCCTGGTTAGCTGGGGGTGGGAGAGAGTGGGGTCAGAAGGGTCCCACAGACTGTCCAGCTTCTGGGGATGATTGTCATCTGACCTGGTGACCCGGCAGGGAGGAAGCTGCTGAGGACAAGTGGGCCCTACTGGCTTTTTAGCACTGGGCAGTAGGCAGGGGATTGTGGTGGGGCTCGAACATTGGCTGTGTTCCTTCCAGCCAGGAAGCATGACCAGTTCTGAGACACTGGCTGACTGATCTGCCTAGTGTCCACAGAATGTCAATGGAGGAGCTCCAAGACACAACTGGAAATGATAAGGGATCCTAGAGTCCTGAAGCCAAGGCATCCTTACAGATATATAACTCTCTTCTTCCCTGGCACCGCCAGCTCTGTACAGGGACACCATGGCTTATAGTGGATGTACCATTTCCTGCTGATGGAATATTCTGAATAGGCAGCCTCTAGAAGGGTTCTCAAACCTCAGAGCCAGATAGTGACTTACTGGGTACTCCAGATCACCACAGAGCTCTGAGCTACCAGCAGGACTCTATCAAATTAAAGGGTCACCCTTTCAAAGGTCAGGGGTCAGTAGGGCCAGAGGACTGGGCCTCAAGGATGCACATGGCTCCCCCAGGTACTACTGAGTCTGTGTGGGTTTACTGAGAGGCGACAAGCAAGAGGCAGTTTGCCTGTAATATGCTGCAGGGGAGGGAGTCTCAGCTGATAAGATACACCTCTGACCTGAGGTTGACGGGCCAGATGCACAAGAAATTAAAAGCCAAAAACAGTGTTTAACAAAAGACAGGACACATGGGTGCAGGAGCCACACCAGATCCTTAGATACCACCCAGGGACAAGGACACAGCTCAGGGCCTCAGCACCTGTTAGCACAGGTGGGCCCTGAGTTCTCTCCCCAGCAGAAGGAACTCACAAAAGAAGGAATTCACCCACAGAGCAGGTTTTCCCTCTGAAATGTATTATGTTTCATAGCGATCCATATTTCTCAGAGTCGCTCATGTCTCCTGACTGTCCAGGCTGTCCATCTCCTCGGAGGTGGGCCTTTCTGAGGCTGCTGAGGGTCCCCAGGAAGCTAGGGCAAGTGGCAGGGTGGGATCTCAACTGCCTTTCATTTCAGCCCAGTCCCAAGACATTTCCAAGCCACCAGAAGGCCTGGAGTTTCCCAGAGATGGGCCAGGCCTATCCAAGAAACTGCAGGACTATACCAGGTGTCTGCCAGTCTTTGGAAGCAAGCAGTGACCCTCATCTTAGAACCTAAGCCCCTCCCCTAGCCACCTAAAAACTAGTGGATGTCTTTTCTAATGCTCAAGAAGTGTCCCACAGCTAGGAAAACCCAGGCTCTTCTCACATACCAGGGAAATAAGGAATCCTCTTCCCATTGAGCTTGTAGGAGATGCCAACTTTAATCTCGCTCAGGACATCCAGGATGTCCAGCTTGGTCAAGGCCAGCCTGTACCCAAAACAGAGAAATAGCATACCGTCATTGCTTCTGTCTGGTTCTCACCCTCTCCCTTCTCCTGTTGTTTGCATTGAACACAGTAAAAATTAGGTGATTCCTTGCAAAATGCAGTCACTGAACAGGCTGGAGAACAGGGACATCTCCTCTGGGCCCAAGTCCTGAACCCACTGTTCATCTCCCGCAGCTGGAGCATTCCTGAAATCCGAGCTTTCTCTCTTGTCAATGGGTGCCTCCTCTGCCTGGGCTCCCACCATGTTGTCCATGTTGCTTGGGGCATGTGGGGCCTAGGACTATGAGCGTGGTATCCACTTTTCTTTCCACTTTTCCAGGATGGATATGCTTGAACACCGCTCCAGAACTGTGACCAGTGCAATATGGCAGTGGCCTTCCTTGGCCTTCAGCACTGCCTTGTACTGGTTTCCTTCCTTCCCTCTTTTTGGCTCCCCCCCGTTCCACACAGCCTTCACAGATGATCTCATCTCGGCAGGATGTGGGGTGCAGACCCTTGCCACCTTGCATCTCCTTCACAAGGCCTCAGACACCTCTTCACCAGCCACATGGTTTACTTCTAGCTACCTGTCAGCTGTTTCCATCCAGGGAGGCTCTGGTTAAGTCTTGAAGCCAGCAGACACTTTCTAACGCTGGCGGAGAAGCCTTGGCCCCCTTTCATAGCTGAAGAAGGACCAGGGAAGCCAGCATCCTACAACCCCTTTTTCTGTCCCCAGGAGAGGGTCCTGAGCAATCAGACCTGTAGAGGCCCTCTGTGGTCTACCCTGAGCTCCCTGACACTCTTGCAGAAAACTGTTCTACCATTCCAACTAAACGCATCCTTGGAAGCTTTCCCTTGCAGGCTCACAGTGGTGGGGGACCTGGGAAGCCTCTGCTGTTGCTGCAGGGGTACCTTGCTTTAGGTTCTTATCCAACCTTGACCACCACCTGTGTCTCCTGACTGTGGGAAGGGTTTCAGGTTCTTCATAGGGAGCCTTTCTCACTGGGGTTCTGTATCCTCAGGAGTATTAAGTCAACTCTCAGAGGTACATGGGAGCTACAGGGCTGGTCTGTCTCCCCGCCCTGCTAGAGGCATCCAGACCCTGCCTGCCTACCCAGGCCTGTGCCTCTTCCCAAATCCTCCTGTGGACAAGTCTTCTAGAAATGACAAGTCCTTCTGGCTTATAAATACCACTGTACTTTGTAGAATGTCCCCAAGCTCTGCAGACAAAGCCAGTGGCCATCACCCCCACATCCTCCCAAACATGCCCTTCTTTTAAACCTGCTCTGCTCCAGCCTGGTAGCTCAGCTGCAGATCATCCTCACCTTGCACTTGGCCCCACACCGTGCTGCACGCCCAGCCAGCTCACACTAACTCTCAGATGGCCACTGCAGTGATTTTGGATTGGTCAGGATGGAAGAACATCCCTGTGCTGGGTTCGCTTCACACTTATGTCCTCCATGTCACTCCCTGGTGCTGGCCTTGCTTGGGGGTGGGGCTTGATGGGATGGAAAGACTCCATACACATGTTGGGGCCCCAACCCCTGAGGTGAGTTTCACCTGCCCTGTGGGCATTGGGATCAGAGAAGACTCCTATGTGATATAGCTTTGCTGACACCTTGGTGCTAGTGTACAGAAGGGCTGCTTACGCAGTGAAGCCATTAACCATGTGAGCATATCTTAGGATCATCAGGTCCAGCCAGCCGCAGCGTCTCTTCCTGCCTGTGGTCACCCCCCACTCATGGCCACGGTTCTGTAGCAGATCTCCAATTTCCTATGTGAGAATAAAGGACTGTTTGTGCCGGCCATGTTGGGCACTGGCCAGGACAGGTGTGGTGGGTGCCCACTGTCTCCTGTGCTCCTGGCTTCCTCTCTTCTTCATCTCCGTCAAGCTGAGGTACACACATGGGGCTCTGCTCCCCAGCATGACGCTAAGAAGGCAGCACTTTTTCCAGAGCACCCCAGAGGTCCGGCCTGTTTGCTGGGGCTCAGGCAGCTCCCCTTCTTTCCTCTTGTTTACGTGTGGGTAAGTGAGGGTGGGCCTTGTCCTGCAGCTTGGGGTAGGGAGCAGGATTTATTCCCACCCTGAAAATAGCCCCAACTCAGGCTCTTTCCTGGGACAAGAGCTGTGACCCATCCAAATCAGGTGTCAGGGAAGGAAGGCCCAGAAGATTCTGAGGCCTCAACAGCTTCCAGAATTGCTCCAAGGCTAGAGAGCTGAGGAGAGGACATTGCACTCAGCCTCAACTCCAAGTTAGTGCTGAAGGATTCCCACTTGTCTGTGGGCCTTGGTGGAAGAGGGAGTTTCAGACACATGTACACACACACACACACACACACACACACACATTTTGTGAACTGTGTTGCTGATGGTACAGAAACAGACTGTTCTTCAAAGTCCCTAACACCTTCACCTCTGAGCCTGTGCTGTAAAAAGACCCCAGTAGGACATGGAGAATTTTTCTGCAGGGTCCCCTCAGCATGCCTGAAGTTCCACCTGCCCACCGTGCAATCCCAAATATTCCACCCAACCCCTGTGCTGGAACTCACGTTGATCTGCTCCGTGGGGAAGGCCCCAATGCCCACACGGGTGGTGTAGGCCTTTACTACACCATAGACATCACCTATGTTCTGAGGCGGGATACCCAGGCCTGTGCACACGCCGCCCACGGTGCAGTTGGAAGAAGTCACAAAGGGGTAGGTCCCTGCAGGACAGAACAGTCAGTGACTACCAATCACCCTTTGTAGATCCCAGGGCCCAAGGGACCTTCTCAGCAAAGGGCAGTTGGACTCCCTCTGTGGGAATTACTAGAGCCATCAGCTGAGGTCCTACCTGGGACAATGGCCTACATAGGATGCTGTATGGCTCACACAGGAGCCTGCCCTGAGATGGCCTGGCCTCCCCAACAATGAGGGCAGTAGACTGGCATGACACGGGGCTGGAGACATGAGGTACCTGGCCTTGCAAGGTTTTCTTGTCCTATTTCTGGCCTCTCAGCCTCACCTTAATTCAGCCATTGGTGCTCCCTTTATCTGGCTGAAGTTAGGCGAGCAGGAAATGGGTTGATAGTGGTGGGTATGGGCAGCTCTGTGGCCTTGGAAGGTGACCTATTTCACGCACCTGTTCCATGAGTTTTCATAGTCCCAGGCAGATGCAGAAGGGCACGTGAGAGCCCCTCAGGATGGAACTGCCTGGAGGAGGACTCACCGAAATCAATGTCAAGGAGGGCTGCGTTGGCTCCTTCCACTAGGATCTTCTTGGGGGGGCCATGAAGTGCCTCATACATGAAGTAGACACCATCTCGAACCATGGGTCTGATTCGCTCAGCAAAACCCTGAGAGGACCATGCGACTACATGAGACTGCAGAGGGGCAGGGTCTACACAGCCCCCCAAAACTGACAGCTGGCAGTAGTGCCTGTCTGGGACTTGCGTGCTCGGTGGCAGCTCCCTTGCCACAGAGAGGTCTGCCCCACCCCTACGTACCCAGCGTCTGGCCCAGTGGTGGCCAGTTTACCTTGAGCCTCTTGAGTTGACCTTCCACATCTATTTCCAGAGTGGGGAACATGGACTGGTGCTGGTGGGCCAGGTTCTTGAATCTGCACAGGCAACCCTCACCGTGACCCTCTGAGGGCCCACACTGGACCCGGGGGCTCTGTTTTCCATCATGTCTCCCACCACCTTTCTGTGACTTACCTCTGAGCTGTGGGAGGGTGGGGCAGACTTACCTGGCGGAAAACTCGTCAAAATCGGACAGGAGGTCACAGATGCGGAGGCCCGTCCGGGCAGCTTTGGAGGAGTAAGTTGGTCCAATCCCCTTCTTGGTGGTGCCGATGCTGAAAGATGTGAGTAGGTGCTGCTGAGGAGCTCTGCTGACCCCATCCCAGCTTCCAGCAGACTCAGGCTCCACCTCATGAATTAAGGCCGGAAGGTGAGAAGGAGGCCGCTAAGCAGAGGTAGCAGGGTCTGGGGCTCGGCTGCTGCAGAGACACCTGGACAGCTCGAGCACACAGCATCACGGTGCAGGAATGTGGGATCCATTACAAGCTTCTCCCGTCTTCCGACCTCTAAGCATTTGCACTTGTGCTCTGGCTGCCCTCTCGTTTGGCAGCAAGAACACTGTAGGAGTGTTGGAGCTACATACCTAGCCCTAAAGTCTGCACAGGTGACCTCAATCAATCAAATACTGCTGCCCCCTGTGTCTTGCTCTGTGCATTCATGTGAGAGTGTGTCCATGTGACTGCAAGTGTGCTGTGTGAATTACCTATGCAAGTGCAAGTACACGTGTGAGTGTGAATGCATATATACAGGTGTGCAGGCACATGTGTACCCATGTGTACAGGCAAATACATATGAGTGCTCATCTGTATAACTGTATAAGCAAATGTGCCTTGGCATGTATGTGAGCTCCGTGTGCCTGTGCAGTGTGTATGTGGCTATTGGCTGCTTCCCACATGCATCCCTGGCATATTTGGAGTCCTAACAAACATTTCTGAATGGACAAAAATGCAAACATTACACGAAAGAGCCGAAGTTGGGAGCTGGGGTGGTTGTTTGCCAAGCAGAGAGTGTCAGGCCATTTCAGTGTTTCTTATGTTTTCCTGTGAGATGTGTACATGGTCAGGGTGGTGTTGCTGTGGCAAGAGACAGTAGTGACAGTCAACCAAGCCAGGGTGTGACAACCCCTGCCCAAGGCTGGACGACCCTATTGTTCTTTCAGGTTTTATTCTCAAGGGACCCTAAGTCGGTTGATGATTGCCCTCTCTCCTGCTCAGACAGCACCTGTACCAGGTCACCAGATTGTGAAACTGGGGTCCCAGGAAGAGGAAGAGGGTGGCGTGAGGAACTTACTTCTTCCCCTCCTGGGCTTGACGCTGTACCTCCTGCAGTCCGTCCACTGCCTGGTGGAAGTCAAACACTGTTGCAGCGGCCGGCGTGTGGATAGGAGAGGAGAGAGGACAGTGTGTGAGGGACTTCATTTTCTGAACGGTATCAGGAGAAGGGGTTAGCAGGTCCCTGGCTGGGAGTAGGTACTGGGATCCCAGAGTCCCAGGCTCCACAAAGGGGTAACCAAGTATGTCCCTGGCTTTGACCTAGCTCCTACCTTGAGGCCCCTTAAAAAGAGTAAGCTTAGCAGCATATGGGACCAGGTAGGTCCTCCAGGGTCTCCTGAGCTCTGGGTGGAGGGAGCAAGGAAGGGCCACTCCCAGAGCCCCATGGGAACCTTACCAAGGTGGGCCCGGTCAGAGATGATGAGCCGCTTCTCCCAGTCCTTCAGCCCTGTGGGGACATGGCAGAGATCACTGGTATGTGCAATCTTAGGTGATGAGGGCCATCCTTCCAAGTACTGTTGGCTTCAGTGTCGCCAGGTTCCAAAGGACCACATGCATTGCACAGCAGCCACGGTCCTGGCACCTGTTCCTTACTGAGGCTTCTGAACTCCAAACCCAAAAGACACCACAGCCATGCTAGAGCTCCCCCTGCATCAGCCTCCTTCCTGGATAGCCAGAGCCTTGAAACTCCAGGGGCTGGAGATGCCAAGGCAGTGGCCTACAGCAGTTTTGGAGACTGTGGGTTGCCCAGCTGCTGCCCTTGAGTGAGGACTCCACTCTCCACTCTGCACAGTTAGCATGCAGTGAGCAGTCAGCTAGGACCTCAGCAGGCCATGGGCCTGTGGGTGGGGAGATGACCTACCCTTCTTCTCATTCTTCTCCGCCTCTTCAAACAAGCCCGGCAAGTGGATGACCACACCATTGCCTGCAACACAAGGGACAGGATCATGTCCTAGGTCTTGGACATTTATGCTTCAGATGGTATTGACAGATGGCAGCTGCAAGAGACTCAAGTGCCCAGACCCAGGTGCTGCATGAGAAAAGTCATTCTATCACATGCAACAACACAGTTGTACTTGGGGACATGGGGCTTAGACAGTGAAGACACGAACACTATGACCCACTTAGGTGGATCTTGAGGTGCCATGCTCATGAAGACAGAAAGCAGAAGAGCGGCTTCTGGAATCCGGGGAAGTGGAGGGGCGAGCAGGTGGTTAGGGCTCCACAATGTAGGTGTGGGGGAAGGAGAGTTCTGCCGCCAGTGGTGTGATGGCCCCATACACCTCAATCCTGGGGGTTTGCCCGAGGGGGGCTGAGCATGGAGCCTGCCCTGATGGTGACAGCAGGTTATTATAACTGACAAATCTTGAAGTCTAGCAAGACTTCTGAAGGGTGAGTGGATGAAGACCTGTGCTATCAAATGCTTAGTTTCTTAGTGTTAAGGGAAGTGAGCTGTCAAGCCAGGAGGTCTGGAGGACCCTCAAATGCAGGCAAATGAAGGAGTGTCCAAGGAGGCTGTCCACTCAGCCCCCAACTGGTATGAAGCAAGGGCAGTTATAGAGGTGGTCCTGGTTAGTTTTTTTCATTTACTTGACAACCTAGAATTACCCAAGAAAAAGAAACCCCAGTTGAAGAAACTCTTGATCAGATTGGCCTGTGAACATGTCTATGGGACATTATCTTGACTGCTAATTGATGTAGGCGGGCCTAACTCACCGTGCATGGTGCCATGCCTAGGCAGGTGAGCTTGGACTGTATAAGAAAGTTAGTTGAGGCTGGGTCTGGTGGAGCATGCCATTAATCACAGTGGCCTGGAGGAAGAGACAGGCAGATCTCTATGAGTCGAGGCTAGCCTGGTCTACATTAGAAAGACCCTGTCTCAAAAAAAAAACAAAGAGGATGAGGAGAAGAAAAGAAAGAAAGGAAAGAAGGAAGGGAGGAAGGAAGGAAGGAAGGAAGGGAGGGAAGGAAGGAAGGAAAGAAGAAAGGGAGGAAGGAGGGAAAGAAAAAAGGAAGGGAAAGAAGAAAGGAAGGAAAGAAAGAAGGAAGTAAGGAAGGGAGGGAAGGAAGGAAGGAAAGGAAGGGAAAGGAGGAAGGAAGGAAGGGAAAGAAAGCTGAGCATGAATGATCAGAAAGTGAGAGATCTGGTGAACAGAGCTCCACTATGGTTTTGTTTTGGATCCTACTTAAGTTCCTGCCCCAACTTCCTTCAGTGATGCACTGAGACCTGGAAATGTAAGCGAAATAAACCTTTCCTCCCCAAGTTGCTTTTAGTCAGAGTGATTTATCATAGCAACAGAAAGCAAACAAGAGTAGAGGCTAAGTCTTCCATGTGGAGACCTGGTGACCACAGCAAACCAGAACAGAGGGGCCGTGCAGGGACCCGAGGCCAAGATGATCATTAATTAAAAAGCAGCCAAACCCAGGAGACTCCGCTCCAAGTCAACCTAGCAAGAAGTCCTCCCTCTAGCCCCGCGGAAGGCACCTGGATGCCAGGGTCCCTGCCCCTGCTGCTCCCACCCCATGTGTGCCTCCAGAGCTCCCCTCTGCCCAACTCACCAGGACACATCCTGATCTAAGGGGATTGACTTTGCATCTCTTCAGTTGACCCCAGAACAGTGGGTCAAAGCCCATTAGAAGCATGAACTACGCTTGGGAGGCTGAGGCAGGAAGACCATGAGTTTGGGGCCAGTCTTGGTTATATGTCTCAAAATCCCATATTAACACAGTTAATTCTCACTCAGTGTGAGAATAAGGAATTCAAGGCCAGGCTTGGCTTTGGAGCAAGTTCAAGACTGGCATGGGCTACAGAGACCCTGTCTCAAAAAGCAAAGCAAAGCAGAGCAAAGCAAAACAGCAACACAAACTGAAACTACTGCCTAGATGACAACCGAAGGCCAGTGACACAGGGAGCTTCTGACTGACCAAAGCGTTCTACTATCCCCAAACATTCTGAAATCAACCGTGGTGGCCTCAAAACTACCGTTACAGCATGGGGTCTGGTTCCCATGGAGGCCAGAAGAGGGTATCAGGTGTCCTGGAACTGAAGTTACAGATAGATGGCTGTGAGTTGTCACGTGGGTGCTGGGACTTAGACACAGGTCCTCTGGAAGAGTAGCTGGTGTTTTTAATCATTGAGCCATCTCTCCAGTCCCTACAGTGGGTGGATTTTATAATGTGTAATTATGGTTCAATGAAGCAGTTCCATTTATTGAAATTATATAAAAATAAGAAAATAGGAACAATGGAGAAATGTGGAACCTAAAGGTTTCCAGAATCCTACCAGCACCCTGGGGGCTGTTCTTTATCATGGAAAAGCAAACATGGGATCTTCAGAGTTATTTCACACAGCTAGAGTCAGAAGCTCAGAAAGTGAAGGTGGCCTTGTTGTAGCCCACATGGCGTGCCAGTATAGGATCTGGGCTGAGGAGATTCTAGCAAACAGAGACCATCATCGCTCTTGGGGGAATCCTATACCAGCCTCATGGGGCTGGCCATGGCAAAGGTTTGGCAGAGGGAGGTGGGAGACTAGTCCAAATCGGAGTGACTCAGAGATTCCACAAGCCACAGAGAACACAAAAGGTCACCCAAATGCCATAGCATCTTGAAATAACCCCACAGCAAAGTCAAGGAGTGTCGCAAGCTGAGGGGCAACATGAGCTGGTACTCTTGCTGAGCGGCTGCTTTGGGCACCCTTTGCGATGACTATGGCCCCTCTGCTCTCGAGTGAGCTCCCAGTCAATTGCCAGCCACCCTCTTGCTGTGGGTTCCAAGCCATCCTCTGGGCTAGGAAGCATGTGTCATGTGCATCTCCACAGTGCTGTCTTGTTCCACTGAGGGTTCTGGATGAAGGAGAACCAGGCTGGCAGGTTGTTTCTTGCAGCCTTCCCGAGGGACGGACAGCACCACTGTCCTGATGTTCCGCTGGGCACACAGGTAGACAGGCCACCTTAGCAGCTGAGGCTCCTCACTGTGGAAGGTGAACATCACCACCACCTTACTCTACCGGGAGAGCTAGAGACAGCATGTACTTGAGAGAAGGGGTCTATGAAGTCTGAGCTCTGACTCTAGCCACCCAAGCCCCTACCTTTCAGATTTCCTTCCTCTGCTCCTACACAGCGGGTCAGATCTGTGTTATCCGCTGGTCGTGGACAGGCAATACTTTGCCTTTGCTTCCTGACTGAGATGTGGGGTCAGCTAAGCCTCAAGTATGTCAGTTAGAGCTAGAAAAATGAGGACAAGTGGGGCTGGGGCTGAGATAGCACCACCTAGAGAAACCAGGGGCAGAGAAGCCTTCTCAGGCATCTGGAGTAACTGCCTGAGTGGTAATGGCTGTGACAGCCCAGGCAGCATCAAGAAATATGCCCAGGCTGTTCCCAGGCCCATGCACTCTGAAGGCACACTTTTGTATACTCACCCCACACATACAAACACACACATACATACATGAACTTAAAGACACACACACTCTTGCTCTCTGTCTCTCTCTCATTCACCTCTCTCTCTACACACACACATACACACACACACACACACACACACACGCTCTGTATACTGCACACAGCTTCCTGCCCCCTCTGACTTCCAGTGAGACCATACTCTGAGGACACTTTCTGGGTGGGGAGCTCCAGATGAGCACACAGGGCAGGCCAGGTGAGGTCCAGCTCCAGGGTTTGTGCAAAGAGACCTCCCACACTCTCCACACACACTGGGAGCCTCCTTCAGGAAGTCAGGCTGAGGCTAGCGGGGCACTCACCAATGAATGACACGGCCTTGGTGTTGATGATGCCGCTGGGCAGCAGATGAAAGTCATACTCCTTGCCGTCCACCACGACTGTGTGCCCAGCGTTGTTGCCCCCCTAGGAACAGAAACTCAAGTGAGTGACTGGTACCTGAGTGTTGCAGACAATTCCAGAGCCAGCTCTCTCCCTACATGGTGTTTGAGGCCCCAGTATTATGCAGTGGTCCGGCTTGGGCAATATAAGTCAGTGGTCAGGGCTTTGGGCTGAGTTAGTGTCTGATGCTGGGATGACCAGGGATTAGGTGGGGGTTGCTTTGGCCCAGCCTTGCTCCACGGCTCAGTGCAGCCTTGGCAGGTGGACCTTACCGAGCACCCCTCTCCACCAGGGAGGAGTAAGGGATTGAGGATCAATCCCTGTGGAAAGAACAGACCCAGACCTCACAACCCAACTTGTTGCCCTCTTCAGCAGGGCTCTGTCCTGGATAAAAATGAAAGGAAAAGGTGATTCCTAGGTCACCCTGTTCCAGGGAGGCTCCTTGTTGGAATTCGAGCTGATAGGGTAGGTCAGTTGAGTTAGGGTTTTCAGGGTGGGGTGAGGACCGAGCACTAAGGCTGGGTTTCAGGCTCCAGCATCCTTCCTCCATTAGTCAGCCACCTGACCACGAGCACACAGCTCCACACCCTGGACACTGTGTCCCCAGGCTACAAGAGGTTGCTGGTGTCCATGAAAAAATAGAGACCATGGTGGTGGGTCGCCAAAGTTTTCTTGCCTTCGACTGTGGTAGCCTGTCACCCACGTGGGGTTGCCGGGGCTTCTTAATAAGTTTCTGTCCATCAGGAACTTGTAGTTTGGGTGTGTTGGTAGGTGGGTGGAGGCAAGGCACAATGGGTCAGGCTGAAGCCATGAATAGGTGGAAGGGTCACACTACATGGATGTCTGCAAGGGGGAACACAGACTGGTATAGGGAGTGGCAGACTTAGCTTCCAAGCTGACTTGATGTCCTCTAAGCCAGGCACCTCAACCCTGCATATGGTGCCTTCTAGAGCAGGGGTTCTCAACCTTCTTCATGCCGTGGCCCTTTTAATACAGGCCTCATGTTGTGGTAACCCCAACCATAAAGTTATGTCTTTGCTACTTCAAAACTGTAATTTACTACTGTTATGAATCATAATGTAAATATCTGATATAGGACCCCAAAGGGGTTGCGACCCACAGGTAGAGAACCGCTGCTGACAAACTGCGGTCAGGCTTTCAAAGGTCAGCAGAGTTATGACCTGCAGTACCAAATTTCACCTGCAGATAGCACTGTGGTCCCCCCGATTGTGCAATGGGGCTCAGCACTTGGGTTTGGTCTCTAGTCTTGACCCTTGTGGCGCTCATTTCAGCCTAGGGACTCTGAAGCTCAGCTCCAGATCACCTCCCTGGCCCGTCTCCTGGAAGACACACAGGCCAGACACATGTCTCTTTGTTTACCTTGCTGAAAGAGCTGAGGTGGTTTCAGCTCCCACATCTCCCTTGCCTACCCAAGCAAGACCCTCAGTGAAGGTTCACCTCCCTTTGTGACCACCTGTCATGCACAATGTGCTGGACAGAGTTGTGCCTACCAGCTCCTCCGTTGAGGCAGGAGGCAGAGAACGCTGATGCTGAGATCCTGTGTAAGGGCTTTCCCTCCAAGGACTTCATTTTCCACATGGTTTAAGGTAGGCCACAGACCTGTATGCCTAAGCTTCCTGCTCCTTGCTTGCTCTCTGAGAAGTTTATGACCATGTAGATGGCATCAGGTGACAGAGATGGGTCAACCAGAGGCCAGCTTCATGGCATGGGCCCAGGTACCCAACTGTTAGGGAAGGCACAATTGTGCAGTCTGTTCTGAAACCCCTGAGACACAATTCTGCCTGTAAAGAAAGTTTGCCGTGTAAAGGGTAGAAACCATCTAGGAGGCACTCTCTTCAACATGACTTGCAGGGAGCTCCCGGTTTTTAGTTGGCTCCAGGAACATGAGGGTACCTCCTTGGGAAACCCGAAGTACTTAGCCGTCTGGCCTTCTAGGCTCTGTGAGCAGGTGATAGTGACACTGGACTGCCCATGGAGTAGGAGAAGTGACGTGGAGCGTGCCAGATAGAACGCTAGAAGGTGAACTGCAAGAAGGGCCCAGAGGGGCTGCTGGGAAGAAGAGAGGACTTGTGGGTGGGGCATGATGGAGGTGGAGCTGAGGGAGATACCTGCAGCCCTGGCTTTGAACTTGCCATCAGTCGGTCACAGCAGATGCCTGTGTCTTGCTCTTGAGCGTGTGAGGTCAGACCATCAGAATGGCCCCTGAGGAACCTTGGCAAGCCTTAGGGTTTGGAGACTCCAGCCACAGCAGATGCAGAACGGCCACCGCCCCCTTTCAGTTCCCAAAATATGTGAACACCCACAATGCTGTTTCCTGCCTGAGGCAGTCAAGGTGGTGTCCAAGAACAGATGGGGAAACTGAGGCCCCTAGAGAAGACAAGCTTGCAACGGAGCCTAGAGTTTTGCTTGGGCTGGCGGGCTTGCAGGGACAGCAAGGCGGCCAACCTGCGCTCCACTGTGGTTAGGGCCAGGGAGCCCAGACACCCTAGGTGGGACGCTCTGCCCCACCCTCTCTTCGAGTGCCCAGGCCCATGTCAGCTGGCTTGAGAACACAGACAGCAAGCCACCCGCCTGTCTGTGTTGGGGTAAACACGGGTGCCTGGGAACAGGCCTTAGTATCACGGGTCAACAGATATCAGATGACCTCAGCACCAGTGCCCACTGCAACACCCAGGCATTAGGCACAGCCACTGCTAAGGCATACACCATCCCAGGACACTGGGCTTTCAGCAGCCCTGTGGAGCCCAGGGTGATGGCTCCCTCTTCCCATTGAGGTTTCAGACTGATGGGCTGCACAGAGACAGCCGGTGGGGGTGGAGACAAACCCTCCCATGCCTTTTCTTTGGCTTTAATAACCTGGGCCAGACATTCAATAAAATTTGGGCATGATGGGAGTCACCAAGCCCTGAAAAGGTGGGGACATTCAGACCTGCCTAGTACAGCTGATCAGATTCAGCCCCCATGCGGGAGGTGGGGTGAGGAGAAGCGAGGTCAACTCTGGTTCTGAGGTTCAGCAGCTCCCTTAAGTGGGCAAGCTCTTGAGGACCCTGTGGGGGTCTGCACAAGTGAGGAAATGCTACCTGTGGTGCTGTCGGCTCCAGCTCTGGGGGATGGAGAGCTCTGCCAGCCTCAGACTGCTCCAGGGCATCTTAGAGCCCAGCATCTACCCCCCCCCCACCCCCGGGGGGGGGGGGGAAATCCAGCAGTGCTAAGTGGCCAATGTATGTCAGGAACAGCCCAGAGGCCTGCTGTGACCCTGCCCTGCTGTGGGAGCCTTCTGCTAAGGACGACCACAGGTGCTGAACACTAAGGAAGACCTGAGATGTTAGAGCCAAGCTCTTGCTCAGGACCCTGCAGGTCCACTGGAAGATGACCAGCTGTCTACGTTTGCAAATGGGTCCTGGGTAGAGCCTTCAGGATCTTCAGCAAAGGCAGGGCAGTTTCTCTCCACCTACAGTATGAGGAGTGTGGAACAGTGCCCTCGGAGGCATGGCCACCATGGTACATTGTGACACCTTTCACCACCGGCCAGGTAAGGGGAATGGCTACATGGACAGCCCAAAGCACATACCTCAAGATGTCTGTACCACAGGAACTCAGATCAGGCTGCAAGCCCAGGGTCGGGGCATCATGGTGCCTGCTGGACACAGCAACTCCACTTGGTGTCTCCAGGATCCTCCTCTACAGCATCATTCTGAGTCCCCTGTGTACACTGCAATCCCCCTAGCACTCTCCGACAGTCTGGCTAGTCACCCAGAACCCCCAGACCCTGGTATCCAAGAGTTTAAGACAAGAGACCTTTGTCTTGGGCAAACAAAGAGGGACCAGGGCCAAACCAGATCCTATCCCAGGTCAGCTTGGTCCGGACCTCTGCTATGCCCTGTACTGTGACCCAATGTCTCTAGTGTGAGGCAGGGAAGGGTTCTGGTGCAGCCCTATAGGGGCACCTTCTGAATGGGTTGCATATGCAGTGGTTGTGGACATACACTGCAGAAACCAATACTCATTTCCTCCGCCTACCCACGCCTATCTTGTAGCTGGAGAGCCTACCTGCCCCCAGAACCCTGAGCTCCAGCCCCAATGTCCAGAATGCTCTTCCTACAGCCATATTGTAGCTGTCTGGACACAGATCCTAACTATTCAGGGTCCTGTCAGTGCATAGACTTAAGCTAAGCAGCGGACCTCAAAGTTGCATGCCACCAGCTGGTGTCCCAGCATCTCCTTCCAGGACAGACCCAGAGCCCTCCTGGGCAGAGACTTGAAATAGACCTCCATGGCCCGCTGGGCCCCTCTACCCAAGAGATCTGTGTGTGGACTCAGGGCACTTATAACACATCTCTGAGGTCATCCTTAGCCTCTCCTACCTTTGTCCTCTAGGCCAGGACCTTCCCTGCCTTGCAGGTCCTTGGACAGGGAGCTGTGGCCTTTGCCTCCCACCAGAGGGTGCTCTGGGCTCCTGCCTTCCCAGTCCTCCTCATTCCCTATTCTGGCCTGGTACCTGCAGCCCTAGTATGGTAGGGTACAATGAGATGGCTGAGATAGCTAGGAGTCCTCTGTCCTCCTCAGGGCCAGCAGGGAAGGCTATGTCAGAGTGACGTGTGTTACCGTGCTGTGCACCCAAGGGGCAGTCTAAGGAACCGCTGTTTAGCTCCCAGGGCCTCTGCAGCACTGGGGTCCAGTTTACTTAAGCTCATCCCCACTCTTACAGCACCTGCAGTGGTTTCTCCATCCCTCTGTCAACTCTGGCTGTCCTTCAGGCCCTAGATGGTGCTATGTGACTGCAGGACTGAGCCTGGCCACTAACATGTCACAGGTTTAGTCACCGTCCTGTTCCTGTCCGTGTCTGCCACAGCTCCTGCCCTGGGACCTGCCCTGTGCCAGATTTCTAACCTGATGGTGCCCCTCCCTTCAAGGCCTGCCTTCTAAGGGCTACTGCGGGGGGAGGTCAAGGCCTTCACTTCCTTTCCAGATCTGCTCACAGACCTATAGCTCACTTACTTCTTTCCTTATAGGGAGGAATAGCTTTGGGCAGAAGTATGAAGGTCTTGCCCAGGGTAATGTGGGGCTGTGTAACCCTGAGAATCCTCTCCTGGAGAAACCGGCCATCAGAGTCATCAATAAGTACAGCCATAGAGAGACATGCTTCTGGAATCAACACTAGGCATTCTCAGCACGGAGCAGTGACTCCTCTTACCTGCCAGAGGCTCCTGGAGCAGCCTAAGACCCACGGCCATGCATGTCCCTTGGACAAGGTGCCAGAATACCTGCAGACTGCGAGGCAGGTCCTCACCCAGAACTTCAGCTCTAAGAGTGCTACACTGTTAGAGAAAGCCCTGGGGTTCATGGCCTGTGGTTCATTCACCACCGCCCGAGGCCAACCCTTCCACAAGGGTGACCTCAGCTGGACAGAAGCCTCAGACATGGGAACGGTATGTGGATTCATACCAAGCAAGCCCCCAGAGCAGCCCAGTACTGAACATGACCTAACACTCTGAGGGTTCTGACCCTCCAACTACATGGAAGGAGAGTTTTAAATCCCAACAGGCCTGCATGGCAGCCTGGCAATGCCAGGCAAGGCACCACAAGTATCGGAGAAAGAGTACTATGGGGATGAAGGAAAGAGCCTCGGCCAGCAGTGGGGTGCGTCAGGAGATGGCGGTCAAGATGCCCACGAAGTAACAGGTGCACCGGGCTCATCTGAGGGAACAGTGGACACAGCCGGCCAGTCAGGCAGCAGAGGAGGAAACATGGAGGACCCAGAAAAAGGAAACCTGGGCAGAGATGCCTGGGACTCCAGGGAAGAGGAAGAGAAAACAAATCCCCCAGCACAAAAGGCAAGTGATGGCCTAGAGCTGCAATGTTGCCTCGAGCAGGAGGTCAGAAAGGCTTGCCTGGAAGGGGGTGAAGGGGGAAAGAGCAGTAGGGGACCCCGGAAGGAGGACAATGCAGCCCTCAGCAGCCTCAGAGATTCAGGGTGGAGGGAGGATGCCCACAGCGTCAAGAGCAGGGATGGAGCTTAAACCATGTCGGAGCAGGGACCTACAGGCAAAGAAAAGAAGCAGGCAGGACCTAAGCCCAGAGGTGCTAGCTGGAGGGTGCTCCTGGGGTTCAACACTGCACTCTGTCCCATAGACCCCAATTAATCAAGATGGCAAAACAAGAAAGCAGAGCAGCTGTCGGGACTGAGCAGAGTCAGAGACCAGCGTAGGTAAAGTGGAGAGCTACAACAAGTGTCTGTGGCCACAGAAAGGTGTGGAAGCCAGATTTGGAGATTAGCCCTGTAGGCATGGAGCATTAGCAGACTGCCTGTGCCTGCCAGAGACCAGGGTATCCCCGCGGTCACAACTGCCACTTAGAGCAGTGACGAGCCCAGGTGCTAGGCCAGGTCATTCTCCAGGAGCCCAAGGAACCAGTAACCTAGCTGACTGTAGCCTCCTTAAGTAGCCGACTTGCTACGGGGGCGGGGGGGACTTTGACTTGCAATCTTGTCCTAGCCAGTGGGCCCAAGGCTTCAGGCAGGCCTCTGAACTTTCACTTGGTTCACGCACCCATCCAAAGTCAGAGGCAATTTGCCTAGACTCCCAGCTTGCCAGCCTCTGATCACATAAGGGTGACCATGGGGACAGGAGACCAGGGAGAATGTGAGGCCAGTGGCAGGCAAAAGGGCCCCAACTGAGGAGAGAGACAAGTGCAGGAAGGATTTTACTGCACTGACCAAAGATTTTGCAATGACCAGAGCTGGGCACCCATGGGAAAAGGACTTGAGGTGCCTTCCAGAGGGGGCTGAGTAGTGCCCGTTGAAATTCTGGCTCAGTTGCCTTCTCCACGGAGTCAAGGGAAGGAAAGCAGGCCTGTGCCATCATGGTGGCTTGTGGTAAAGGCTATAGAGGACCCAAAGGGACAGTTAGTTTCATCTGCAACCCTGCGCCTCAGTGTCCCTACCTGTAGAGGAGCTCTATCAGTGGCTCCTGACCTACTAGCTCATTAGAGACTGGAAGGGAGCCATGTCTTCCTTCCCTTGTTCTCTAGGGGAGCACCTTCTTGGGTCTGCTGGGCTGTCAAGTAGTGGGGATCTGGGCCTGGCATGTTGACTTGGGCATAGATAGAGCAGGGAAGGACCATCCCCACCAGAACTATGTCCACAGCTGGAGGTGGAACCTGGGACCATCAAGGCACACCACAGGGCTTCTCTGACAGTGCTGACCAACATCAGCAAGTTGGAAGGAGGGGTTGGAGGCACCACAGGAGCAAATGACCAGGGGAAGGGTGGGGATGTGGTACTGGGACACTTTGGAGAGAAGGCGTACAGAGCCCTGGGAGTGTACATACCCTAGCTGGAGCCCTGGGAGTGTACATACCCCGGCTGCACACACAGAGCTGGACAAAGCATGCAAGGCATAGGGAGTAGGGGTCCAAGGACTGTCCTCAGGACCTAGAGACTTCAGGAGGGAGGAGTGAACAGGGCAAGAGAATAGGAGAATTTTCCAGAAATCTTCAACCCCAAGCTCTGCCTCCTGAGCCCACAGACCCCGAATCCCTGCTCCGAGTTCAAAAGGAACTCAGCAAGAAAGCCATAGAACCAGGGAGAAGGAAGTCCAGCAGGTGTCCCCCCTCCATTTAGGTCAGCAGCCATAAGTGTAGCTCCAAATCCAGTCATAACAGGATGTGTTCCCTCAACCTGAACCTTTTCTGCTAGAGCTGACAGCCCAGAAGCAGTGTGGCTGCCAGGAGCAGCATGGCACCACCAGGGACCTAAGGAGGCCAGGCTACTAGCCCACTGTCCAGAGCCAGTCAGCACAAGCGTGGGTGCTCAGAGCAGTCTGCAGCTGACCAAGAGCAGGAAGTCCGTCTCTGAGCACTACCAGCCACTAGATCACCCTGCCCGGAAATCTGTGACTCCTCCTTGCCCCACGTCATCCAGGACCCCTGTGAACTCTGCTTCAGGAGCCCACCCTCTGCCCAGAAAGCAGCCCTCAGCCACCGCGGTGTCTTAGGGGACCTTGACTCACCCCAGTGGGGCTCTCCCCACCAGAGGGCCCACCATCACTGCCCTGGAACACCCTATCCCTAAGGATCCCATGTCTCCTACTCAGCAACTTGTATTTTTAGCTCGGGCCCCTGCCATTGCCCTGGGGAGGGGATGGGTGGGTGGGAGGACAAGAACTTTGTGTGAGAGGGTGTGTGTGTGGGAAGGAAGGGTTTAGGCAGTGGGGTAGGGGAAGGTGCTCCTGGAGGGGAGGAATCCGAAAGGCAGTGACCCACTCAGGACACAGGAGGACAGGGTTCATCTGGATCCCAGGGAAGGGGGAGGCTTGCTGGGCGGGTTGGGGAGGGACTCGGCGCCTGGCCCGCACCTGGCAGCGGCTGACGATGTCGGCGTCCGTGGCCAGCAGGTCCACCACCTTGCCTTTGCCCTCGTCCCCCCACTGCGCGCCCAGCACCACGGTCACGCGGGAGCCTGTCGCCGCCACCTCCTGCTGTAGCCGCCCCCGCTTGACTCCGCCTGCGCCGGGGGGCCGGTCGTTGGAGGCTCGGGTCCCCGACATGCTGGCTTAACCGGTCCGCTGCGCTGGGCCACTAAAGAGCCAGCCGCCGCCAGCGTTCTCTCACCATTAAATGCGGCCGCCTAGAGCTGGGGGCGGGCCGGGGGCGGGTCCTGCGCGTGCAGTGACGCGCCTCAGTGACCTGTGGCCTCAGCTCCCCGCCCCTGCCGCTGTCGTAGCAGGTGGTGCGTTTAGGGCGCAGACACCCTCAGCACAATTCCGGCAAGCAAATGACCCAGAGATCCAGGGACGCAAGGTGGGTCAGTGTTGTGTGACCCGGACTCTTTAGTCCTCTGCCCCCTGGACTGCCAGGACTAGGGTTTGTGGTTGCAGGAACTGCAAAGGTGGCTGACTGTCTTTTACCGGGCGGGCAAGAGAGTGTTAGCAAGAATAGAAGTACAAATGCGTCAGTGCCGCTAACCTGGAGGATCTGCCTGCAGGATCTCCTGCTCTTCCATGGTGAACTTCGAGTACAGGACTGGGCACCGGTTCCTGAGGGCCGCCCAGAAAGTCACCTTAGCTGAGGATAGCCTCTCTCCACCGAGCCACATAGACACCCCTCCGGGCCCAGGATATGCTGTGGAGGTGGCATGCAGCTCTGGGATGGTTGTAGCTCGCCAATGGACTCCAGTACCAAGAGTAAGATGAAGCACCCCAAACAACCCGATCAGAGCAACTTGAGAGACACAGGAGTAGAACAGGGTCCAGGTTTCCCAGAGACCCACACCAGACTTCGGTGACAATAGCCTCTACCACTCCTGGGAGCCCACCCGGGTGCACTGCTCGCCTTGTTCTTGCTCACTCTTGGGTGGTAGATGAAGCAGGTCAGTACAGGATGGAAACAGGGACAAAGGAAGGCCTTGGGGCTGGGAGGACTGCCCCACCCCCGGGGACTCATATATGCTTCCAGAGTGTGCTGACTGACTGACCCATGGACAGGTTCGTAGAACCGTCAGGCTCCTTGCGGTCCTGGGCCAGTTCCCAGATCTGTCACAAGACCAGGGAGTCTTGACACACCCTCTTGGGGCCTGGCCCTCACCCCGCAGCTTGGGGAAGAGATGCTGTTCCTACTCAGCCTCAATCACACTGCTGCTACCTCCTTCCTACCTCCCTGTATGCAGGTCACTGTAATGGGTCCCTGTTTCACAGGGGACATAGACACTCACCCTCCTTCCGTTGTTGTGGGTGAAGCAGTCAGGAACTACCTCCAGAAGAGAGCTTTAGCGTTTATGTGCAGACTGTATATTCTTGCTTCCCTCACTCTGCCACTGTGGGGAGCGGACAAACTAATAGGAGTGGGATAGAGTCAGTGGTTCAGAACAAGAGCTCCCGAGAAGCAGCTGGGGCAGACAGGAATACCTGAGGGGAGCTTTCTCCTGGAAAGTGAAGCAAAGGCAGCTGATGCAGGAACAGAGTCGGGGTGCACGGGAGACGATGAGGGTCATAGGAGGTGGGGGTGGGGGCACAGCAGTTCTGAGGAGAGAGGCTAGCAGAATGATGCAAGGGTTAATGAGTTTTGTCTCCAGGTGAGAGAGATTAGGAATTAAGAATGCCCGTGTTGAAAGCAGGGTGGTGGTGGCACATGCCTGAAATCCTGGCACTCAGGAGGTAGAGGCAGGAGGATCTCTGTGAATTCAAGGGCAGCCTGGACCCACGACTGCTGGGGCTACACAGAGAAACCCTGGAGAGAGAGAGAGAGAGAGAGAGAGAGAGAGAGAGAGAGAGAGAGAAGGGGA